TGGGGACACGTCAGAACTCTGGGGACACATTAGAATGCTGGGGACACATTAGAACCCTAACTCTGGGGACATTTTAGAACACTGGGGACACGTCAGCACTCTGGGGACACATTGGAACTCTGGGGACATGTCAGAATGCTGGGGATACATCAGAACACTGGGGACACGTTAGAACTCTGGGAAAATGTTGGAACTCTGGGGACATGTTAGAACTCTGGGGACATGTTGGAATGCTGGGGACATGTTAGAACTCTGGGAAAATGTTGGAACTCTGGGGACATGTTAGAACTCTGGGGACATGTTGGAATGCTGGGGACACGTTAGAACTCTGGGACATAACTAGAAAACTAGGGAAACACTGGGGACATACTAAAAAAATTAGAGAAAAATCAGTAACTCCTGTGACCCTTAACTTCGGGAACTACTTCCTGGGCAATCTGAATGGCTGTGCAGGGCGGGGCATGGGGGTGGGAAAAGGAAAGAAGGTGAAGGCGGCTGTTCCCCGTGTGGAGGGACCTGGGGCCAGCCCTGTGCCTGGCAGGTGCCGCCGGCATCCACGCAGCATCACAGCCCAGCAGCACAGCGGCCTCAGTGAGCCACTTGGCCCCTTCCTGCAGAAGATCATACCAACGGCATCCTGCGGCACTGTGGACCACTTAGACACGTCACCAGTTCTCATCTAAGGGTGATTTTGCCCCTCGGGGCATTTGGCAATGTCTGGAGACATATTTGGTTGTCACTATTCAGGTTTGCTACCAGAATTGAGTGACAGAAGCCAGAGGCGCTTCCACACATCCTGCAGTATAGACACCCCACCGCAAAGACCACAGGGCTGAGGCAGGGAAGCCCGGTGGCAGGGGCGTCGCCTACTCCTCCCAGGCCCAGTAAGGGAGGAACGATGAGAGGCTTGCACCATGCAGCCCTCCGTGACTGACCCACACCTGTTCCCAAAACAGCATGGTGTGGGAGTGGCAGGAGACGGCTTTGACTCTTGGCACCGCAACCTGCCAGCTGCGTAAGCGTGGCTAATCCGTGTAACCACCCTGTGCTTCGGTTTTCCCACCTGTACACCTGGGCAAACAGGCACCCCAAGCAGCAGGGGTGTGCGGGAGACTAGACGGTGCATGTCTGAAGCCTGGCTCCCTGTGAGTGCTCACGGGAGCACCCCGCCCTCCTCCACTCCCGTCCCCTTTCCCCAGGAGCTCTGGAGCACGGCGTCTGCAGCAACTTTGGGGCACGGGGGATGCTGCTCGACAGCCTTCGCAGGTGCTTGGAGGAGACTGAAGGATAGCAACGGCGCTGGCGTTCCGGTTGCCTGGGCAACGTGCCCACGAGCATTCCGGAGGAGTGAAGTGGTGACAAGCAGGGGGTGGGCAGGACGGTGGGCGGCAGTGTTCTCAGTCCCCGGGAGGGGAAACCTGGCTCCGTGTCTTAGCTGAGTCCCTGCTGCTGAGCCCGGCTCCTCTGTCCCCACGCAGGACAATTTCACAAGAGGGCAGACGGGTGGTCATTCCAGACCAGCTGCCCCACCAAGGGCCCCACAGGTCCCTCTGGTTCAGCCTGCTCCTCCCTCACCCCACCTCACATCTGTGCTCTCTGGGCAGCGCTCAGTATGTGAGCAGCCGCAGCCTGAGCTGCTGGGCAGCCTGGCCCGGTACCCCAGGCTGCCCCCCTGTGCTTCCCCTGCCTGCCCAGACAAAGTTCCCAGACTGGGCCCTCAGCATGAGATATCCCAGCCCAGCATCAAGCCCTCTCTCCTCCATCTCCCCGTGAGCAAAGGGACGGACTGGCAAAGACATGAATGGGGCAGGAATAGACCTCACTGTCTGGGAGCCTCATCCCTGGGGTGTCGGCTCAAAGCGAGGAGGCTCAGAAGAGCTCTGGGAAGGCGAGGTCTATTGTGCAAAGCCCA